CCCAGCTCTGTGACCAGATTCCATCTGTGCTGTATCCTGGAGAGGCAATAAACTTCCTCTATTCCACCGGCTGGTGCAGTCTGTCTGTGCCATTTCGGGGTGCAGGAGACGGGGGACCCCCAACGCGCTGTCACACATGGCCAACGGCTTACCCCTCTGTTCCACATGCAGTGCTGGAGGAGGCATAAGTGGAGGCATTTGCTGCAGCGGTACCGTGCCCAGCTTTATCTGGTAGGCCGGTAAATAGCCCATCGGTGCCGCTATTGGTTGCTGCACCTCAGTCTGTTGCGGCACCAGTGCTCACAGGGCGTGAGTTGGGATTGGTGTGGGAAGAGGCATCAGCGTCAGTGCCGTGCGGGGCACCGGCTGTGGTGCTGCCCCCGGCCCCAGTGCCGTGTGAGCTGCCGGGGGTCTGTCCAGCTATCCTGGTGCCAGGGTCCTCGGTGCCATGAATGTGCCACGTCTCCTTTTTGACACCTTAGAGGGCAGATGCCCCTCCTTGGGGTGCACCTTCTGGGCACTCCATTCCTTTGGGCATCCCCTCGAGCCCTAGGAACTTCTCGGTGCCGGGGACTGCGACCTCTGCTTCGGTGCCTTATCAGCCCCCAACCGATGCTTGGCCGACACGGGTGCTGCTGACGGTATGCTACGGATGAGTGAGGGCGCTCCTCGCCCTAGGGCTGCGGTGCCGACTCCATTAGTACGAGTTTCAACCGGGAGTCCCTCTCTTTCTTAGTCCGGGGCTTAAAACTCTTACAAAAATAGAGCAGCTTTCTGCTTGATGAGCTTCTCCCAGGCACTTCAGGCAGTCGGAGTGAGGATCTCCATAGGGTTTAAAGCCCTGGGGCCCTGGCATGCTCTCCCCTCAAGGTGAGAGTCGGCTGCACTCCTCTGTCTAACTAATTATACTATTTACACTACTTAACTACTTAACTAGATAAAACCACAAAGTCAACTATAATACAACAGATAAAGGAAAAAACAGCTGCTAAGAGATAAGGCTATTAGCCTAAGGCATGCTCCAGCTACAGTCAGAAGGTAAGAAAAAACTGAGGAGGAGGAGGGGCCAGCAGGGGTATATATGCACGGGTATACCAGCACCACTCCAGGGGACTCCCTGCTGGCCCTATGGATACTGATAAGGGAAAAAAAGCTCTGGAATCTGTGCATGCGGCGCGCATACACCTAATCAGAATGGACATGAGCAAGCACTCGAAGAACTGTTGTTTCTTAATGATTTCAGACGTTTCTGAAGCAAAAACAAAGTAATTTGTGTGGTCATATTTACTTAATAGAGCAGTGTAGTTTGTCACTTGAAGTTGTAGTGTTGAGGACATCTACACCTTGCAACCAACAAATTGAGCCTCTTGCTGTCACGATCTGATGGTGCGGATCTAAAATGCTGCTGTTTATTTTTTTGGTGGGCAGCTTCCACCACCAATGAATTAGGCACGGGGTGAGTAAAAAGAAACTCAGACACCTTAGGTGGAACATAATATTTTGTGTCAGCTCTCTTACAAATGGGGATAGTTGTTGCAGGAGTTTGCCATATCGTTTTTGCTGGCTCCATGATTGCTGGATTAATTGGTAATGCGATTTTAGAAGATGTCACAGACTGCAAAATGTCCGTTAACTCATGTTGGTTTTCAGTAACTTCCTGAAGGGGGATGTTCAGCTCTTCAGACATGCATTTAAAAAAGTCCTGAACATGTGCAAAATCATCTGCGGTAATAGGTGGAGAAGGCATGACTGCTCTATCTGGTGAGGAGGATTCGTTCATGTCCAGTGATGGGTCAGAATAGTCGCCTTTTAGAGCTTGCTGTCACTGAGGAAATGGATACTGGTGACGGGAAATGCTGTGGCACACTATGTTCTTTATGAGTGTATTGATGTCTGTGTCGAGATTTCTAGGGGCTTCAGTATTGCCATTGCAGTATTGCCATTGCAGTTCTGAGATGGGGGGTGGCATACCAGGGATTACCATACCATGGTGGCATGCTTCTATGGAGTGTGGCGGAGGAGTTGTGGCAGAGTAGATGGAACATTAAGTGGGAGGAGAATTGTTTGGAGAAATAAAATGATGTCCACAGCCTCCAGAGAGTCCACAGCCTCCTCAAGTGAGATAGTTGGTAGTGATCCTGGAGTACTGGGAGAGCAGTCGGTACCAAGAAAAGGTGTGTTAAATCTAGAGGAAACCATAAGGTCTCTTATGTTGCATATACTGAAGTGCTGGTGTTGATGGTGCTGTGGTTGGCTGCGCCGATACTATTTGTAGTGCAGGATGGTGTCTTGGCACCGAGCGGTCAGGTGATGTAGTGGATGCCTTCACAGTGCCAGATGGCGTACTCAGCACTGTGTTGCTTGAGGTGCTAGCAAAATAATGTCGTGCCGGATGGTGCTGTGACAGACGATGCAGACAGAGAAGGCAGGCAACTTAGAGCCTGAGGCTTCGTTGTGGGGTTTTGAGTGACCTGCTTTACTGGCAGTGCTGGACACGCCCAGTGCATTGTAGGTGCTGAGATGCGGTGCTACTGTCACTCTGCACTGTAGGTGTTGGTGAGGGTAGTTCAGGTGCCAGAGCCTCCTGAGGCAAGGAAGAGCTTATCTCTTCACAGGCTTTTTGTCTTTTTGTATCTGTGGCTTCTTACACTGCTGATCTGGATCAAAAAGACTGGTCTTAACGATTTTGAAAGGTGTATTAATATGAGATGTGAGTCTCTGTCTCACCGCACTCTGGACTTCAGGTTCGTGCAATGGGGGCACTTTTGAGAAACATGGACACATTGTGCATGTCCATCAGACACTAGAATTGGGTCTTTGCATGTGAAATAATGCTTAAAATCCAGTCAACTAGGCATAGTGCCAAGTATTTATCTAATTAAGGGAAGCGAAACTGGCAAAAAACACTTCTTTTTAAAAAGGAAAAATGATGGACTATGAACTGCTAAACATCTATCTATCTATCTAGGGACTAAAACAGGGTGAAAGAGGATTTATTTATCTAAAACATGGAACGAGGTAAGGAACACTGCCGAGCTCCATCTCTGGCTGAAGGCAGTAGAAGGAAATAAGGGGAGCACGCAATAGAACGAACAGTAGGAGTGCTCAGCTAGAGGCATGTGCGGCCCAAGGGACACTGCTCTGAAGACTCCCATTCAAGACTCAGCGGTGGCAAACCAACCTGATGTTGAGCACCCACGGGGATCTCTCTCAAAGAACCCTCTGATACTAAGAGTAGCGATTTCTTATCGCTAGTGTAAGATCCATTGTTAATTTTTCTACCCAATTTTGACAATTTCAACCTAGTCTCTTTTCATGCCAGCAATTCATGTATTTAGATATTCAAGCAACATTTACTGCAACTGCAAACAACTGTTTATACAAAAAGGAACAATCTACTCCTTAATCTCTAACTATTTTAGCAAACAGTATTTTAGTCCAAAACAGATGCTGGGGGGTACATGGAGCAGCTAATGGAATTGCACGGTATCATTATGGGTTGATACCCTGCATTATCTTTATGGGTTTCCCAATGACCTCATAATCAGAAGCAAGGTTTCAACCAATTCAAAGCAGCACACCAATTCAAGGCAGCATCTGACCTTACTGTAAAGATGCAAAACCTGCAGATGCATCTCCATCAATATGGATGGGTTCTACACATGCCTATCATGAAATGTGGGGTACATGCACACAAATTCCAACTACAATTATGTGGGTGAAATAAGACAATCACTACACAATCACAAAACAACATGATCTCAATTTCCTGGTACAGATGCAGACTTAAAGGCTTTGTCTACACTGCAGGGTTTTTGAGTAAGAAGATTTTTGCAGAAGAGATCTTCCGCAAAAACTTCTTGCGCAAAAGCACGTCCACATGTCAAAAGCACATCGCAAAAGTGATGTGCTTTTGTGCAAGAGAGTGTTCACACTGCACGGACACTCTTGTGCAAGAAAGTTCTGATAGCCATCAGAGCACCTGTGCTTTTTGTGATAGGGGTTTCTTGCACAAAAAGAGCCTGTTGAGCATCCACACACATCTTTTTGCGCATGAGTTCTTGCCCAAAAAGGAATTATACTTTGTAAAAGGAGGTATACCTGCACCGCAAAAAGCCCTCAGTTCTGTCGATTGACTGTAGATTTTCTTGCACAAAAATGTGCTTGAGGTGTGGATGCTTCATGGGTTTTTGCTCAAAAACAGCTGTTTTTGCACAAAAACTCTGTAATGTAGATATAGCCAATGACAATTTAAAAGTAGTTCTATAACCGTTAGGATAGTGTGTCAAAACACCACTATTCACATTCTGTCAAAGGACTTCAGTTTTTATTGCTGTCAATTCAACACTTTGCAGAAGCACTAGCATCAGTTAAAATAATAAAGAAAAACCTAAACACCAAAAGTAGCAATTGCCAGAAAGGGAATAAACTGGAAATTTTAACTATTTGTTACTGATTATCTAATGAATAAAGATCTAATTGTGCCTTAAAAGTTGCAAAGGAGGAGATGCGTGACCAAGCCAAGAACAAGTTACTACCACCCATCAGCCCCACAGAAATGCTGTATTAAAAGTAACAGAAGAGCAAATCACAATTCTGAAAAGCCCATTTAGAGATATAAAGTCATGCCACCAGCAGCCACACACTGCTGATGAGGTCTACTGCAAATGCTTCTACTGTTTACAATTGTGTTATCTTGCATGGAGAGAAGGAAGTTTCTCCCACTGGAAGATCTCAGAGATTTAGAATTTTATAGGTTAAATCAACACCATGCTCTCTACCCAGAAACATAGAAGCAGGCCTGACAGTCATGATCCAGATCAGAATTAGAAAGTTATATTATGGTTGTAGATTCCATATGAAGTAGTTCAGTAGAAAGCCTTTGCATGGGGGTTTCTACCCACCAGCCTTAAGTATTATCAGCAAGAAAGTGTAAGAAGAGAAGAAAGGAGAAGCCATTTTTTTAAGCCCTGGCCCAGGTTACCTCCCTTTCTCAGTACCTGAGGGAGACTCCTTCCTTCCTTTCTTTTTTTTTTCCTTTACAGTCTCTTTTTTCTTCTCCTCAATTGGTCTTCTTTCTGTAGGAAAGACATAATCAAGGAAAAGCAGAAGCCACATGCTCCACACTTTCAGGCATGAAGTGGAAAAGAACTGTGAAGAGACAACAAAACCCTCTTAAGTATGAAAGGCTGATTGATAGGTTTTTGCCTCCTTCTTCCTCATAGGTGGATATGTAAGTTCATGTAAAGAATGGGAGAATAGGGAAAAGTAAAGTAGAGATGTATGACAAAGTCAGCCTTTATTTCTGCCTCACAGAAAGCACAGAAATTGCTTAAAACCTCTGAATAGACTGCATGTCTAGAAATTAAAGACTTTGCTTTAATACACATTTAGTCACTCCTGGGATTTTAGGCTTTAACACTGGATCTAAAGAGTCCTTAGTGTAACAATACTGAGTGTTAACAGCCATTTCAAAGACAAAATTTTTAAACAAGGTAAATCAAAGAAGTTATGTGATTCAAATTATTTTTTTCTTTCAGTTGGCACCATATATATTATGCTTTCATTTCAAAGCCTACTTTGATAATGCTAATCCTAGTCATCTATCAGAAAAAGATCAATTTTTAAAAATGTTTCAGTAATATTTAAACCTCAGAGTAAAACCAGAAAAAAATCCTGAATGGCATTCTGAATATCTTAGCTGTACAGCTTGATTCAGTTCATAAGAATTATTGCAGATTTAAGAATTAAGAATATTTCCCACAAAAGTAATCTCCTTTCAGCTAAAGTGAAACACCATACTACAACATGAGGAAAATCCTTGAAGTTTAACAGATTGAGTTTATTTTTACAGTATGAAATCTGTAGTCTAAAGAAGAAGTTACTCACATTTGTGCAGTAATGATGGTTCTTCGAGATGTGTCCCCGTGGGTGCTTCACTCATGGTGTCTGGCTCGTCCCGGCGTTGCGGCTCGGAGACTGGCATAGCCGTGCTCCACTAGACTGCACGTGCGCGAGCAGCGGCTCGCGCCGTTCGCACCTTTCATCTGTTGCGTGTGGTCCAGCACCACTTAATTCCTCTCAGCTGCCCAAGCATCTGTAATGATAAAGAGTCAAATTCCAGAGCGGGGAGGAGAGCAGGTCGTGGAGCACCCACAGGGACACATCTCCAAGAACCATCGTTACTTCACAAAGGTGAGTAACTACTTCTTCTTTGAGTAGTCCCTGTGGGTGCTCCACTCATGGTGACTTCAGAGCAGTACCTGAGCAAGAAATGCACTTCTGAATTAAGGTTTAACAACAGGAGGGAGTACTGCCATTACCACCAAGAAGTCTGAAGCCGAATGATTCAGTATCACATAACGTCTCATGAAAGTCTTGTTGGAGGACCATGTTGCTGCTCGGCAAATGTCACGAAATGGTACTCCTCTTAAAAAGGCTATAAATATGGCCACTGCTCTTGCAGAGTAGGCTTTAGGTTGAGCTGGGAGTGGCTTATTATATAGAGAATAGCATGTAGTAATCCATGTCACTATTAAGTTCGCAATGCGTTGGGAGGACAATGGTTGCCCCTTGGAACGAGTCACCACTGAAACTATAAGGCGGTCTGTTCTGCGGAAATCTCGTGTTCTGTCCATATAGAAAGCTAGAGTCCTGTGTACATCAAGGGTATGCAGAGTTGCTGCATATGGTGAGGTATGCGGTTTGGGGCAGAAACAGGGAAGCACAATGGGCTCGTTGATATAAAGTCCGAGCATACTTTGGGAAGGAATGCTGGGTGATATCTTAATGTAACCGAGTCCTTTGTAAATATGGTATAAGGCAGTGATGACATGAGGGCTGCCAGTTCACTTATTCTATGTGCCGAAATCAAGGCTAGTAAAAAGAGAGATTTAATTGTGAGCGGGTGCAGTGAGGTCGTAGCCAATGGTTCAAATGGGGGATGTGTCGACGTATCTAGCACCAAATCGAGATTCCACAAAGGCGGTGGAGGACTCCATGGTGGGTTAAGATTCATAAGCCCTTGAGAAATCATTTCGTCATGGGGTGAGAAAACAAGGAAAACCCGTCTATGGTACAGCGAAAGGCAGTAATCACTGCTAAATGTACTCGTAAGGAGGCTATAGATAGACCTCTTTGTTGCAAATATAGTATATAGTCGAGTATCTTATGTAATGGTGAAGCATGGAGGTCAATATTTTCAGCGCACCAAGCCTGAAATCTAGTCCACTTAGTAGAATATGTGGCCCGTGTAGAGTCCTCCCTGCTGGACATTAGTACATGTTTGACTCAATTGGAGCAAAGGTACTCAGATGCCGTGAACCACTTAGCATCCAAACAGTCAAATGCAGGATTTCAGGTCTCGGGTGCCATAGAGAGCTGTTACATTGAGTTAGTAGATTCGGAGCAATGGGAAGACAGTACAGTGTATTGTTCGACAGCTGGTGAAGCATTGAATACCATGGTTGGCGAACCCAAGCTGGAGCTATGAAGATCACGTGAGCCGCATCCATGGTGATTTTTTTTTCCTATGATCCTGGGTGCAAGTATAACGGGCAAGAAGGCATAAAGTAGAGATGCTTCCCAATGAAGGAGAAAGGCATCTCTCAAGGAGTGATGACCTATTCCTGCTCTGGATCAGTATTTTGGACACTTCGCACTGTCTTGTGTTGCAAACAGGTCTATTGATGGAAAGCCCCAATGGTGGAAAATCCGAACTGACATTCTGTACTGGATCTCCCATTTGTGATCGTGGGGATACTGCCAGCTTAGTGAATCTGCAACGACGTTGTTGACTCCAGGTAAGTACAATGCTATGAGGAACGTGTCATTGCAGATACACCAGTTCCACAACCAAATCGCTTCTGCGCAAAGATATCAAGAACGGGCTCCGCCTTGTTTGTTGATGTAATTCATGGTTGCAACATTGTCTGTGAGCACTCTGGTTGTTGTGCCCTTTATGTGCAATTTGAAATGCTTGCATGTATGAAATACTGCCCGTAGCTCGAGAATATTGATGTGCAGTAACATTTCTGCCTTGGACTATCTGCCCTGAACTGTTAGGTTGTCCATGTGGGCGCCCCATCCCGAAAGGGAGGCATCGGTGGTTATTTGTTTTGATGGTTGGGGGCAGTGAAAAGGGACATCCTGCAAGAGATGTTCTGGTTTGGTCCACCATTAGAGGGACCCCCTGACATGTGGCAGTAACACTACCAATTTGTGGATGCTGTGTTTCGCCCGAGTGTAGACAGAGGCTAGCCAACGCTGGAGACATCGGAAATGTAACCTCACATGTCGAACGCTGAGAGTGGCAGCTGCCATGTGGCCCATCAACTCTAAGCAGGTGCATACTGGCATCATTGAAGGATGTGTGACGAAGTCTACTAGGTCCTGGATTGACTGGAAACAGTCTGCTGGTAAGTATGCACGAGCTGCCTTCACATTTAGTTGCGCTCCTATGAAAATGAAGTTCTGAGTCGGTCCTAGTGTCAATTTTTGTATGTTTATAACGAGACTGAGAGAATTGAATGTTCGGGTTATTTTCAACAACTTGCATGTCTTTGCATCAGTACGACCCCTGAGGAGGCAATCGTAAGTGCGACCCCTGAGGAGGCAATCGTCTAGGTAGGGAAAAATTGCCACCCCTGCTTTGTGCAGGTGGGCTGCTACTACTGCTAAGGTCTTGGAGAATACTCAGAGCACATGCCAGCCCAAATGGAAGTACTTTCTACTGGAAATCTCCATCTGCCACTATAAACCGAAGAAATCGTCTGTGCGCCCCATGAATTGCAATGTGGAAGCAAGCATCCTGTAAGTCGAGGACTGCGAACCAATCTCCCTCATTCAGTGCTGGTATAATTGTAGCGAGGGTGACCATTTTGAAGTGTTTCCAGAGGTATCTGTTTAGATTTCATAGGTCCAAGATGGGTCTCCATACTCCATTCTTCTTTGGAGTGAGGAAATATCGAGAGTAGAACCCTTTTCCTTGGAATTCCTTGGGCACTCTCGCTATTGCTCCAATGGTGAGCAAGCAATGGACCTCTTGTTTCAACCGATCCTCATGAAATGGGTCCCTGAAAAGGGACGGGATGGGTGGAGTGGTTGGACGAATTGAAATGAAGGGGATGGTGAGACCGGAAGCTACAATTTCCAACACCCATTTGTCCATGGTGATAGTGGACCAATGGCGGTAATACAGCCTTAGACGACATTGAAAAAGGAGATAGGAGCTTTGTTCGTATCCTTGACTAAACCTTCAGATTTGTTGGTTTGTAGATGGCTGGTTAGAGATACGGGCAGGCTGCTGTCACCTCCTCTGAGGACGCTGCCAGAATCGTTGATGATCTAAGGTGCGAGGTTGTTGCCTATGGAAGGAGAAATCACATCTTCTTTGGTAAGTATAATAGCGCTTTCGTCTGAAGGGGGGTCTATACATCCCTAGCGTGCGAAGCGTAGTTCGGGAATCCTTCCCTGAGTGCAGGTCCTCATCTGTTTTGCTAGCAAAGAGTTTATGCTTGTCAAAGGGCAAGTCCTCAACCTTATCCTGGAGTTCTTTTGGGACTGTTGCTGATGGTAGCCATGAAGATCTTCTCATTGTCACCCCTGTAACAGTGGCTTGTGTGGCAGTATCCGCCACATCCATGGCGATTTATAATGTGGCTTTACATGAAGCGAATCCCTCTTGCACTATGGATTTGAACAATGGTCTTTTTGAGTCAGGGAGATGCTGCAGAAGGTCCGCTAATTTTGAATAACTATCAAAACTATGGTTGGAAAGGAGACCAGAATAGTTGGCAATACGCAGTAGTAATGTGGCTGAAGAATAAACTTTCCTTCCAAAGATATCTAACTTTTTATCATCTTTTTCTAGAAGGGCATTTCTGTAGTGTGGTACTTTCGATCTATGCTGTACCACGTCGACCACCAATGAGTTAGGCTGGGGATTTTTTGTTTAATCACCCAAGCCCTTGGAAGGGACAAAATACGTTCTATCCGCTTTTTTATTCGTTGGAGGAGCGGATGCTGGAGTTTGCCATATTTCCTCCACAACCTCCATGATCGCCTCATCAATGGGAAGTGCGATTCTACTCTGGTGCTGTGGGCGTAGGTTCTTCAAGAGATGGTGTTGTTTCAGTCGAATGTCTCCTAACTGTATCTCCTGGTTATTTGCAATGCGTTTGAAGAGATCCTGAAATTGTTTCAGGTCATCTGGCAAAGAGACGTCGCCTGGAATCACCGCCTTATCTGGAGAGGATGATGAGTTGTCTCTTGGCGATGCGCTCTGCTGAGGGGCTTCTGGATCGGACTGTTGTCCTTCTTCTGGCTCCGAATGCTCCAGTTGAATTGTTGGGCTCTTTGGAGAAGGAGGCAGTGAAAGTTCATGTTGAGGCTCTGAAGGTAAAGGTTGAGAATCAGGAGATGAACAGCAACATGTGCGTCTCCTGTGGTAGAGGGAGGTCCAATCATGATGAGGAGGGTCATAATGTGGGAGAAAAATCAAATAACTCCAATTGTGTCTAAAGGGGGGACTGTGTAGAAATCAAAACTCTCTGAAAGAAAACTGCTGTAAGGGTTAAAAGTTTTCCAGACCTCTCTCCCTGTAACAGAGAGAAATCAAATTAACTCTAATCAAGACCCTTACAATGCCTCTTATCTCAAGTTCATGGATACTCCTAGTCTGTCACAATTTGTCATGTAAACCCTTATCTTTGTCACAGTTTGCCTTGTAGACTCCTCCACTCAAGTTCTCATGTGGCTTTGTGTACTGTAAAAACTTACTTCTAGCACTCCTGGGGTGAACAGAAGTCTCAGAGTACTTCTGCTGAGACTTTGATATGTTAAAGAACAATCAACAACTGAACTGTCTAAGCATTCTGTATATAGGATACCTGAATCTGTCTCTCATGGCTGCTGCTTTCACTCTTGGAAGTGACAGCCTGCATGCATGCATCATAAAGTTTTTCCTTCTAGGTTTCTCTCCTGCCTCATTGATTTGACCTCCGGCCTCGAACCCTTCTGGGGGCTCTGTACCCCAGGGGAGCGAGATTTCCCCCTCAATAACATGTCCTATGGTAATGACCACAGTATCATTCTGAGTGTGTTGGGGATAAGTGCCGAGGAGATAACACACTACTATGTCTTTTATAGTAATAACACCTTGGTGACTGGATAGGCAATCGTGAATAATGGTGATGGTTCCCTATAGCAGGAGTAACAATCAGGGGACACTGACTGGGCTGAGTGCCCGATTGTGGTGCCAGTGACGTAACTGCGGGGAGGGGGATGGCCCCGGAGAGAAAGTTGGTGAAGAAGAAACAAGCCCTGGATGCATGGTCATGTATGCAAGGGCTTCTTCTGGTGCCGCTGTGATATTCCCCTGCAGTGGTGCTGGGGAACGAGGTGCCAAGCGTGCCTGCTCCAGCGCCGGCGAGGTTGTGGTCTGTGGTTTAAATATTGCCGGTGCCGGCGGCAGCGAGGCTGTTTCTGCTGTTGGTGCCGATTCACCTGGTGCCGCTGATGCGGCTGCCCTGTGTCGGTTTCCACAGTGCCGATGCTGATTGTGCTCTCAGTGCCGCAGGTAGTGGTTTTTTCCCCATGGGAGGCCAGTGTCCACTGAGACCCTGCAGCAGTTGTCCCTGACGTGCCAGGACCATCTTTCAAGCCCTGTCCAGTGCTAAAAGCCTCTGGGAGAGATCAGGTTGGAGACAGCTTAGATATTTTGGGTGCAGACGCCTCAATGGCAGTAGTACTGCGCTTGTGCCCAGAAGGGATAGGCAAATCAGCAGGCTATAATGCCTTATCCATCATAAGCATTTTTAACCGTTTCTCATGGTCTTTATAGACTCTGGCTGTCAGCTTACAACAATGCTGACAGCTTTGTGGTACGTGTGCTTCTCCTAAGCACCGTATGCATGCTTCATGCCCGTCAAAACTGGCATGGGCTTCCAGCAGAGCATACATTTCTTAAAACCTGGGGAACCAGGCATTTCTCACAGAAGGCTATTTCTCATTGTGTAAATTTTTTTTTTAAAAGAAGAACTATGAACAATAATACGACTTAGACTAATTGTAACTTGATATGCTATTAACTATTTACAGATTAAACCTAAGGAGAAACTCTGAGGAAGAGATGGAGCTCTGTCCGTGACTGAGGTTGGTTGGAAGTAACTAAGCGGGGCTGGACCACACGCAACAGATGAAAGACTTGAACGGTGTGAGCCGCTGCTTGCGCATGAATGATCTGGCGGAGCACGGCTATTCAGGTCTCCAAGCTGTGGCATGGGAACAAGCCTGACACCATGAGTGGAGCACCCACAGGGATCACTCAAAGAAGAATAGGATTTTACTTGTATCTTTAAATTAAGTTTCATCATCATGAGATTATGTATGAAGTAAGGATGTTAAGGACTAGTCGACTAGCCAATAAGCAAATGCTTATCTGATAGTCAAGCTGACTAGTCACTACGGGGGGGCGGGGAAGTGAGGGTACTTCTAAGTGGCATCGTCACGTGGAGCTGATCCTGGGCTCTGTGTAGTGCTGCCCCTTTGAAACGCCGCAGCAGCATTTCAAAGCAGCAGTGCCGCATGGAGCCCATGGTCAGCTGGGACTCCCTAGCTGATCCCAGGCTCCATGCAGCGCTACTGCTTTGAAATGCCACGCGGAGCCCAGGATCAGCTGGGGACTCCCCAGCTGACCCTGGGCTCCTTGTGGCATTTCCACACGGCACCTGGGTCCTCCCAGGCTCCACATGACATTTCAAAGCAGCAGTGCCGCATGGAGCCCATGGTCAGCGGGGGACTCTGAGTCCCTGCTGACCCTAAACTCCATGTGACGCCGCTGCTTTGAAATGTCACATGGAGCCCCCACAGAAATTCCATCAACTACTTGACTAATAAGTTAGTAAATATTTAACATCCTTACTATGAAGTAACATTTCATGAGTTTAACTATGCAGAACAGGCCTGAACTGGGCTGCTGTGAATGTACTTTAGAGGGCAGTTATTTCTATGGACTTGCAAGACAGCTGGCCCTTCCAATAGGATTACTAGCAGAGATCACAAGATGGGGCAGAGGTGATCAGTGTATATAGTTCACTCTTCCTGCTCTAGTCTTAGACAAGGCAATAGGGTCTGAATAGGATTAGTGAGCTCTGTAGTCATCTGCTTAAATCCCTGACATGCAGTATAATTGTACTAATATTGGTCTCAGGATATAAAGAGAGACAAGGGGATGAGGTTATATTTTTTAATTGGACCAAAGACCTATGGAAGAGCTCTGCCTCTCCCACCGAATGAACTTGGTTCATTAAAATATTACCTCACCTACTTTTTTCTCTAAATTCCTGATGGCATTTTGAGTTGCTGGCTGACTCCTCTACAATAGGAATAGACAGGGGGAAGATAAAAGAATGATGCGGGAAGAAGATGGTCAGTGGAAGTATGAAATGAACATAGCTGGAAAGTGAACACTGCAATGAAAAATTTACATACTAAAAAAACAGACCAAGGGAAACAAAGGAGAATAGTGCATCTCTTGGGGGTTTTTTCCTAAGAAATTTATTTAATAAAAATGAATACAAAATGCCCAATAGGACCAACATGCTAGCAGTTCCTAGGAACAAGTTGAATCCCCTAGAGAAACTCTTACTATGAGGAAGCCCACACACAGATGCAGCATCATCTAAAATGGATGGAAAGAAAGGCACTGAAACGCAGGAATCCCAGACTACCATGCTAATAGCATGAGAGCTGGCTCTAGGAGCCCCTGGTTTCCAAGATGAACTCCATTAGAATGTGACAGATGGAAACATTCAGTGGAGAAGCAAAGGAGGCTTCTTTATTCAAGAGCAAGGAATATAACAATGACTGGGCCAAAAGAAGAGGAAGAATAGAAAGCCAGTGCCAGAGGCACTGGACTGGCAATTGATGCTTATGTCAACAGTATATGCCTCTGATGCTGAAGTATAGATGGAATGGGTCAGCGCTACTAAGTACTATACCGAAGCACCAGCCCCAGACAGACAAACAAAAGCTATCAATATTGAAGCATCTACTACATGGAGAGTAAATCATCTGACATCAAGGTGAATCACCAATGCCAGAAAACACTAGCATCAAGAGGGTACAGATGCTAGCGTAGACACAATCGGACAATCACTTGCCTCTTGACTGTTCCTTTCTCAGTAAGGACAGAAAAGAATGATACTGCGAGAAAGTCTTGGAAGACTGGGTTTTCTGAAAGTACTGACAGCAGTCAAGACTGTGCTCACGGAAAGAACTGACCTCTCTTTTTGTATACAACTTCGGGTTAAGGAAACCTAACATGAAGTTGAAAAGATATCAGAATGGTTTAATAACAATCTCTTACTGGATCCAATGGCATAGGCTGTTTTGGCTTAGTCTGAGTGGCAAAGGCTTCGTCTACACTGGCCCCAAATTCCGGAAAAGGGATGCAAATCAGGTAAGTCAAAACAGCTTATGGCATGTTTATTTAAATCCTACTTTCAGGTAGGAATAAGAGATCCTCCGGAAAAGGGCTTTATTCCGGAGGATCGCGCCAGTCTAGACGCTTTTTTCCGGCTTTTCCCCAAGCCGGGAAAAAAGCGGCAGACATGTTTATTTAAATCCACGGCAGATATTTAAATCCCCCGCGGATTTCCCTATTCTGACTTACCTGCTTTGCATCCCTTTTCCGGAATTTGGGACCAGTCTAGACGTAGCCAAAGTGTTTTAAAGCCTGATGATCTACTGCTTTCTGATTTGGCAGAACGAATCTGAGATCCACGCAGGCTCTTAAGGCAGTTCAGTATCAGTAGATGATACCCTCATAGCTTCTGATAAAAAGTGAAGCTTAAGGAAGCTCTCCAGGACTGTGCATAAGAGAACATATACACAGAATAGGAACAAGCCTCTCCCCAAGGGAAGAGAAATGCCTCATAAGTTTAGTGATGATAGAAAAAGTACCGTAGGAGAAGTATAGCCTAAAGCCACAGGTTGACCTATGGTCATCTTAGATCTGAAATGGTGTGAGAACATCTCAATAGTATCTTATGAAATCAAACATCCAGAAGGGGTATAAAGCCTAACAATATGCATACCTAACTATAGGTATATATTAGAAGCATTATAATCTCTCTCCTAAAGGAAAAAGTTGACTGATGCAAGATATAAAGACACTCTATCCAAAGGATCTCTGGGACAGTTGGGGCTGTGCACTCTGCCTACAGGATGGAGAAAGGAATGGCATAAGCAGAGAGGTAAGGTGTGCACAAAGCCACAGCTTACATAGCTACTCAAAAAAAAGATCAAAGAAGATGCACAATGGAGACTCCAGGCAGGCAATGGTCAAAGAACTGTTTATACTAATGTAATAGTGGTGTTTCTCCAGGCCTTTTATTCTAATACAGCTGGATATAACTGGTATTAATTTGCCTGGAAAAGCAGTTTACAGCTATTTGCATTTTGACATACCTATAGCCATAATTCGTTGTTCAGCTTACCCTCTATAGCAATATCTTCATTTTCTTTCTCTTCTTCCAATTCTGCTTCATCATCTATCTCCTCTCTCGCTTGTTCAAGTTCTCCCTTTGTAACTGGTTTAGAGACATCAGTTTTTTTGTAGTTGATGTCTTCTTCGATTTTCTATAACAAATTAATCAATTACATTTTTAAATAACTGATCTCTAACATTTACTTTCTGATGGGGGGATTTTGTAAAGGTGCATTATTAAAACTAAGTTTTAAGATAAAAAACTGACTTGGAGTGGTTGTTAAATTTTGTAAATTTATTGCAGCTAGAAGGCATTACGATCAAGCAAATTACTATCACTAGAAAAAGAAAAGTTGAAAATAAAATCATTAAATCTTTTACCTTGCTTGGCCAGCAGAACAACACACCCAACCCTACAGGCAGTGCTAGAGTCAAGATGTAAATAATCCAAAGCCATGGACGATCTTCTGCAGCTGTAACCAATTGACTCAACATACCAGGCTGCAGAAAGAAATGAAGAATGAATCTCTGTAATTAATAAAGTGACCAAGCAGTTAAACAGCTTACTGCATTTTTAGAAGTACTGTACAGACATCTGTTGATCTTTAACATCATGTAAAAAAAAAATCTCTTTTGGGAATACAGGTTTTTTTGGGCCCATTTACCAATTATAATGTTGCGTACACTCTCTAAAAATTGTTTATTAAATATTAGAGGACAAAATTTTGTAAACATGCACCATTAAATAGCTTCTGGCATAAGGAAGAGCAGCCACACACAGGTGGAATAGAGTCATCAGTGGGATGGGACTGGGATTCCAAACCCTGAAAGCACAGGCCATCTGAACTAAAGGAGAACTCTTAGGCTCATTTACACAGCAGGTAATGTGTTCTATGGAGGTGTGATTTCTAAAGCACACCAATGCGTCATGGATTAATTGGCCTGCATATACCCTAATGGTGGAAACTAAAGTCTTCCTAAGACTCTTAACACAGTACTATTTCAAAACAGCATTACATTAACCAGCAGGCTCCGAAAGGAACAATTAACAGAGAACACGTTAGTACTCTATAGAAATCCTACCCTTGTAAGGCACATCATGTACACAAACCTTTATCTGTAAAGAAGAGGCTTTGCAGTTTTTGGACACTGCCACTAGAAAGAGTTACGATCACATACACTACGCCAAAGTATCATGGGCACATCTTGCAACATAGGATAGAGATGCGTGCACATAGGATATCAAAGATGCTGGCCATCTCCAGGCAGTGCACATAAGGATAGGATAGCAGTCATGGATTTGATAACATATATGCTTATAGTGTATATGCTTATAGTGACTAAAGACCTTCATTTGTTTGACAGATTTGCAACACGACCAGTTGTTGCCTCTAAGATTTTCTATCCATGAGCAGAATGAGTTTTGTCTTCTGCACTGTGACAGGGTACGTGCCCTGCACTGGCCCTTTAAGGGCAAAACCCAGGCTGGAGCAGGGGCTGGAAGTAAAGACCCAGCTGAAGCTGTTCTGGCTAATGAGGGCTCAACTGGGGGCTATATAAAGGAGAGTAGTCTCTCACTTGAGAGAGAACCATAAGGGGCTGGAAGCTGAGAAAGCAGGAGGTTCACAGGAGCTAGAGCAATGCTGGGGCAGCAAGGCAGGGCTAGGGGAGCTCTAGACAAGCGAGCTCCCAGGCTGTAGGGCCTGGAGCAAGGCCCAGGGCTAGGAGGGCTATAGCGAGGCAGTCCTGGTAAATGGGGGTAGTAGGTCCACACCTCCTCGCCGGTGATGAGTGGCCCTTGCAGACTGCAGTTTGCCCTGAGACAGGCTAGATGAAGACTGGCAGTGGGTCACTGATGCAGGGTGGTGAGGCAGCCCCCCACATGCACCAATATTAAGGTCATGCATTTTTCAGCATGTGCCTTTTCCCCCTGCTGCCATGTCTTCCACCCTCCCCTCTGCTGCTGCCCCCCCATCTCTTACCCTCCTATGTTGTCCTGGCTCCTGCATTTCTCACTCCCCTCAACTCTCCAGGGAATCTTCCCTCTTCCTCATCCTCTCTGACCCCTGCATCTGCCCTTCCCTTCCCCCCTGTGCCCACCCTCCTTTAGCCCCACTCTGATCATCTGTAGCTGCCCCTCTCCACTGCACTCTAAACACCTCCCTCTACCCACTTCCCCTGCCTCTTTCCTCTGCCGGGACTCAAACTGTTGGTGTGCTTCCATGCAGGTGCACAACTTAGAGGGAACTATGAACATGATCAGTATTCTTGATCACTTATCCATGCTCAGAGAGATTACATACTTAGACTGAAACCACTGATCATATGTATTTATTAAAGATCCTACTCCTACTTACCAAATGATATTGAAATCTAGAGGTGACATTCTGCATCATTTAAGTCAATAAGCGTTTTGCCATTAACTTCAGAGAGGGTGAACGAGCGCACGCACGCAGGAGTAGAGGTGTAAATCAAGTGCTTCCAAGGTTTATTGGAAGAGGTAGATTTGGATAAAGCTAAGCTGTCAAACTAGGGAAATATAGCACATTTCTCAGAACTGTTATCCGCTTAATGAAAAGTAATCAAGTAAATATATATTTTCTACATTAACAATAAACTCTTCCAACAGCATGTTTCTCCACTTATTTTGGCTACTAGGAATTGTAAATACTATACCTCATTAGCACTAGCTACCAATTTCTTCAGGCCCCAGCCATCTGCAGCCCACCTATCTGCCACTTCCATTTCTGAACAGATGATAAAATTATCAAAGTAGATATCAGGGGTCATAGACCATAGCTCTAAACCAATAGCACTGACAGCAGTCATTTCAAATGGGTGAAGATCCTCAAAATAATCTGGATTAGGGATTTTTTGAGGACTCCAGATCCCCTGTAAAAAGAAAAAAAAAATATAGTCATTTGAGAGGTTCTTCTAAAAACCTGGAAGAGTGAAGTATTTTCTCTTTTTTGAAAAAGGCAAACATGTTAGTTTGAAAGGAAGGGGAAGGAAGTTACCATTTGAGAAACATAATTAAAATGTATCTTGCAGGAGTCTCAATCCTGCACATCACTTTCCTAGAACATGATAGATTTACCACCTCTAATGTCTTCAAAATTATTGCTCTCTAAGGGTAGCAATAGTAGTGGCACCTACATCCCCTCATGCTACTTGTGTGCTGTTCCTGTGTGCTCCACTTTGGGTGAATGTAGAACAGTGCCCTCGTAAGGATGGAAGGGGCTTTGGAGTTGAATTTGTCACTGAGGCTAGTATAATGAAGCCTACTTTTGTGTCTCAGCTTGATTCAAAAGTAATTTCATAATGGTTTGTTGATGTGTGTTCAGCAGCCCAGGTAGCTGCCCTGAAGAGGTCTAGAATGAGTACATTGTGTAAGAATGCTATGGAGGCACATAAAGCTCATTGAGTACGTTGTGATGCCCAGAGGTCTTCAGTGTTGTATAGTAAATAGCAGATATGGATCCAGCTGATTATCAGTTTTAGATAATCTTTGCATAGATATGTCAGAGCCCTTTGATAATTTTATTTACACAAAAGGTCTAGGTGATTTTTGGAAGTGCTTCTTTCTGTCCAGATAAAAGCAAACATCTAGTGTGTTTAGGGCTGCCTCTTGAGCCTTAGTATTTAATTTTGGTTTAAATGTAGGTAAAAATGAAACAGTTGGCTGAGATAGAAGAAAGATATTTTCTGCATAAACAGACATCCTAAGTGTCACTTTATCCTTGAAGAAAATTGAATAGGGAAGGGGTGAGCCATAAGAGCCCTTATTTTCCTGACTCTAGACACAGATGTAATGGCCACCACAAATGCAACTTTCACAGATAAGTGAAGTAATAAGCACGTGGCAAAGGGTTCAAATTGGGCTTTGATTAGAATGTGGGGTACCAGTTTTAAGTCCCAAGCTGGCATGGTTTTTTGGATGTCAGGGTACATGTTTTGTATTCCTGTGAGAAATCACCTCAATCATGTGAGCAACTATTGAAGTCCCATCTACTTCCTGATGGAAAGCTGTGATGGCAGCAAGGTGAACTCAGCCAGCTTGTAGCAAGTCCTGAATTCTTTAGGGATAAGTGTTCCAGAATTAGTGGTAGTGTGGCCTGTCTTGCAGGTGCTTGTTTGTTCTGGCACCACAGGAAGAATCTTTCCATTTTGGGAGGTACGTAGTGTGTATGTTGGGTTTCCTACTCTTAATTAACACCTGCTTTTCTTGCTCTGAGCAGGTTAGTTCATTGTGGTGGATGGCTAACTAACTAGATATAACTAACACTAACTATGCTAAGGAAAGACACTGTTAAACAAGAGTAAAGACTAAGCTTTATAACTTAGGCCAGGTCTACATTAGGGGAAAATGTCGAACTAAGGTATGCAACTCCAGCTACATGCACAGCTTAATTGGAGTCAATGTACTTTAGTTTCAGTTACCATGGCATCTCTACTGCAGGGGGGGTGGGGAAGGGGTCAATAGGAGAAATGTGTTGGGACTCCTCTTATTCTCTCCCTTGTGGACTAAGGTAGTTGACAGGAACATGATCAGTGCTCAATTTATCAGATCTTCTCTAGACCTGGGATACTGATCCCCACAGCACCGATCTCCCAGTAAGTATAGACAAGGCCTTAATCTAATCATATTTCAAGTGGTATTCTCAGACACTAACTGAAGGGGTCAGGTCATGCATGTGCTAGATGAGGCACCAGTGGCACAGTAAGATTGCTCCTGCACACGTGCCCCAAACAGACATAGCTACTGAAAATCTCTGATCAACAAATCCCAAGACACACACCTGATGTGGAATACCTACAGGGTCAGCTTGACAAAAAAGCATTTTTTCTTATGTAGTTTTCTAAAAGGAAAAAAAAAAAAGTTTGTAGTACAGGCAGTCCCCGGGTTACGTACAAGATAGGGACCGTAGGTTTGTTCTTAAATTGAATCTGTATGTAAGTCGGAACTGGCGTCCAGATTCAGCCGCTGGTGACACTGAGCAGCGGCTGACTTGGGGACGCCTGGGGCAGAGCAGCTGGGGTGCTGCTGGGTTGGTCCAGTA